TATACGAATATTTCCTGGAAAAATAGGATAGCCCCGCCTCTCCTGCTCACTGCTGTACTAGCAACTATCAAAAATAGCTGTGTTAATTAAACGCACAAGGGGTTCTTGAATGAAATAATATTATAAAAGGCAAACCAGAATTGTTAACGCCCAATATACTCCTTAAACAAAATAAACAGAGTCAGATTTCATGCATTGATCCATTATATTGACAAAGGTGCATCTCACCCGGTGTTTGTAGAGAATATCTCTCTTTCTGAGCCGTCCTCTCGATGCAATATCCACAGAGACGTGCTTCTTGGTTTCTTTCAGTTAACTTCCCCGTTGCATTTATCCATATGCTGAGGAAATGACTATATCCCGCTGAATACCAGCAATCGCCACACACACTGACTTCCTCCTGTCAGTAGCTACTGCTAGTGCTACTGCTACTGACCATGCTACAGATATTAGTGCAAAAATATACAGCTCCTCTACCACAACCATCAGCAACAACAGATTCGGTTTCTTTCAGTTTCAGTTTCAGTTTCAGGGCTTAAACAGAAGGGTAGCCATGGCAACATTGCTGCGGGGCTGCTCCAGGCTGCTCTTCTTCGCGGCTTATGGTGTATTTTGGCGGAAGTTACAGCGCCACTTACAGTCCCAGCATATGTACTACAGCGTTTCCAGCGGCCTCGTTTAAACAGACACGTTAAATGAAACAAATGCATGTGAACGGAAGACTTTTTTGAATACGCATACTGTGCATAAACGCAAACGGTCCCGTGTGAGCGGGGCCTGATTGTCTCCAGGTGCAGCCTCTCTCCCAGGTGCTCCCAATCCCCAATCAGGGCTTCCATATAGGACCTGAGGAAGGCTGCAGTCGCTCTCCTTTTTCTCCTCTGGCTGCATGGGTGCAGCACGTCGTCTTGGGTCTCTGTGTGGGGCCTGGTTGTCCTTTATCGTTGGATTAAATCTCATGTGTGAACAAAGAGATCAGTTTCCTCTCTTTTTTCTCGTGCTGGTCGTTCTGTGTTTTGTTACTCCCCTTCGTACCCCTAGATTTTGGAGGGAACGTAACAGTTATACAAGTGTAAATGTATGCACACAAGCTCAGATTTCTTTTCTGCAAGTGCTCACATCAGGTTTTACATGCTCTCGCATTTTGCACCAGAGTTGCTGTATGTAGTTGTCCAATATGGCGGACCATCTCGCACATGCGCAGTACAGATCGGGCAGGGGGACAGATCGGTTAGTGACAGCCGGACCAAAACCGCGGCGCAGCCGTTACGCGACGCAGACGGACCCGGTGGAATCGAGGGGTTAGGCCATTAGTTTAAGAAGGTGACGACCTGCATCATCTACATCCTCTGCTCAAATTAAAGCTCAGGCAGAAAGGGCTGCTTTAATCGAAAGGTCTGCAGCACTGAACATTCAACATGAACTTGATGTACAAGGGGAACAGTTGAAACAACAGTTGAAACGAAAGAAGGAACAATTGGATTTACAAACTGAACTGGCAGCAGCAAATGCCAGGATAAATGTGCTCAGCATGGGATCAAGACACACCTCTAGAGCATCAGATGGGATGAACTCTTACTTCAGAAACCCTACAGCAAGATTTAGGCCGTTTCTCAATCGCGAGGATGCTGGCTTGGTAGTCGCGTACTTCCAAGTCACTTCCTTCAGAAACGAAGCAAGTATGCTTCCAAGCCACGGCTTCGGAAAACGAAGAAGAATGGAACAGGCTAACAAGTGTGCCAGGTGTGCGTCATATGAGAGGCCCCGCCTTACATTTTCCGCCACTGATTTGGGGAAATTGGTCCGTGCGCAAAGCATTGTGGGGATTTTAAGGACGCGAAGTCTACCCATGTGCAGCCTCGAAAGTATGCTGGACATTGGAACGGTCCTGCTGCGCCACTTGATGACGTAGCATCCTTGAAATATTGGCTTGGAAGCCAATATCCTCGCGATTGAGAAACGGCCTTAATCTACATGCAACTGAATTTTCACCTCATCAAGCCCAAACCTCTATTCCCGGACAAAATATACAGACACAACAGGGACATGTTGACATCACACCACCTGTAATCAACAATGGTAATCAAGGTGACATCTATAACTTAATCCAGAGGCAAAATGACATCACTGCTATGCTGGCTCAACAACATCTTACTTCTACTTTACCACCAAGAGACATTCCTGTTTATGATGGTGACCCATTGCAGTTTGAAGCCTTCATCCGTGCATTTGAAAGAGGAGTAGAACGGAAAACTGATGATGAAAGTGACTGCCTGCATTACCTAGAGCAATACACCAGAGGACAACCAAAGGACCTAGTGCGCAGCTGCCAACATCTGCCTCCAGCTCAAGGCTATCAAAGGGCAAAACAGCTGCTTAAGGAACACTTTGGTAATGAGCACAAGATTGCCACTGAACAAAGCATTTACCTGGACAATGATCAAAACCGAAGATGTGAAAGCACTGCAAGCCTTCTCTTTGTTCCCAAGAGGTTGTTGCAATGCAATGGAACATCTCACCTATATGGATGAAATGAATGTTGTTTCAAACGTGAAAAACATACTTCAGAAACTACCCTACAAACTCAGAGACAAGTGGAGGAATAGAGCATGTCAGCTACAGGAAGAGCGTGGGCATCGAGCTACATTTCCTGACCTTGTTGACTTCATGGAGAGACAAGTGAAGATACTGTCAGATCCTCTGTTTGGAAACATCCAAGATGATAAACCATCTACAACTTTCAAAACCTCTACCTTTTCAAAAGAAAGGTCAAGACCAAGAGTAAGCAGTTTTGCAACAACTGTTACCTGCCCAAGAACACCAGTGCTAGAAAATACAACAATAAATGGGACTGAAGATACCTGCATCAACCACCAAATCCCTATATTTGTGTTTGTTCTGCAGTAGAAGTGGTCACTCATTGGGGCAGTGTCCACACATCCTGAAGAAAACACAGAGAAAGGCTTGACTTCTTGAAGGAAAAGGGAGTCTGTTTTGGATGCCTAAAAATAGGTCACATGAGCAAACACTGCCACAGTCGTTTGACATGTTATGTGTGGAACCAAAATCATCCTGAAATACTCCACATTGAACAAAAGGGCAAAAGAAAGGAAGCAGAACACACAGAACAGAATGGGAAACCAACTAGAAGAAGAAGAATTGGGAGGGATGAAACCCTCTTTAATGGTCACACATGCAGAGCACACAGCACACACAGTGAAATTTGGCCTCTGCTTTTAACCCATCCTAGTACAAGGAGTCTAGTACTAGGAGCAGTGGGCAGCTATTGTACAGCGCCCGGGGAGCAATGGGAGTGGGGGGGGGGAAAGGGGGTGTCCGGTGCCTTGCTCAAGGGCACCACGGCAGGGCAGGAGGTGAACTGGGACCTCTCCAAGTAGAAGTCCACACTCCATATTTAGGTCTGGTCGGGGACTTGAACCAGCGACCCTACGGCTCACAGTCCAAGCCCCTACTGACTGAGCCACTGCCGGACCAGTAATTGGACTGGAGGTAATACTGTTGTCTCACTTCAAATATGTGGTCATATTGGGGCGGGAGATGATCGTCCCATTTTCTCCATCATCCCAGTTCAAGTAAAGAGCCACAAGGGGGACAAAGTGTTGCAAACGTATGCCTTTTTGGACCCTGGAAGTTTATCTACCTTTTGCACAGAAAGTTTAATGAGGAGGCTAAACCTTACAGGACAAAGGACTAACATTCTCTTAAAGACAATGAATCAAGAAAAAATTGTCTAGTCATATCTCAGGTTTGGAAATATCGAGTCTGGACAAAGACAATTTCCTTAAACTATCTAATGTTTTCACACATAAGACCATGCCTGTTAACAAACACAATATTCCTGTGCAAGAAGATCTTGAAAAATGGCCTTACTTCAAGGACATCAAAATTCATGAAATTGACTTTGGCATTGACCTACTCATCGGGACAAATTCTCCCAAGGTATTGGAACCTTGGGAGCTGGTCAATAGCCAAGGAGAAGGAGCGTATGCTATGAAGACCCTACTGGGGTGGGTCTTCTATTGTCCCCTAAGAGGAAGCAATGACAGCAGAGATTCTAACAGCAGCGCCCACACATGTTTTCAAACAGACAAAATGCTGAAGGCTCCGGAGAAGGTTTGTCACCCGTACAGCCGGAAAGCTGCTTACGTGGCACGAGAAGAAATCAGACTGAAAAAGGACGAGACAGAATAAAGACAAAGCAACACGTCGGAGCTGCATCGGTGAGAACATTTGGATCCAGAAAAGACGGCGTTCACCAAGAAGGATGCCTGTGACATCGTTGATAGGTTTGAACCTGAACTTGAGCAGATTGAGCTGATGAACGGCATCAAAGGTCGACAGGGTCGTCAAACAGACCATGGAGCGAGAGCGGGAGCAGTATGAGGTCGGGTTTGAGATCCCAGACATCATAAATGCAAAAAATCTGAAAACATTCACGGAGTGGACTGGTGACCTGAAGAAACCTATAATAACCGAATAACCAATAACGAAGATATGTCTGCTCCAGGAAGCTGAGACATAAGTACCACAAAGACAAGGGAGAAGAGAAGAAAACTGAATAATCATTAATAATTAAATACCAACACATAGAACACACCATTTGTATTTTACATAGCTCCTTTATTGGTAATTGTTTTTTGTTTCATACTAAAGCCAATTAGGGGCCGGTGTGTAGGAGCCATTTTATGGGTGTTGTTGGTGTCTCAGTTTACCTTATTTATATGTATAGTGCAATATTATTTTTGAACACTTGGTGGCAGGGTTTAGCTGCACCGGGTGTATAAAAGGGGTCATAGGTGACAGGAAAGGATGAGGACACAGGAGGAAGAGCATACCGATTCTACCAGCCAGACAGCCGGCAGATGCTCATACCACAACCCTTTGACACTGCGTCTGCGTCAGGATCACTCTAAACCCTCCTGTGAAGTAATGGCAAAAGGATATAGGACATTGGAATAATAAAATTGCCATTAAAAAGGTTGATGGAAATGAACATATCATTTTTATTAAGTTATCACACACTAAAATACATTTATTATAAATGGTCTACATCTTCATAAAAACATATGCAAGGCCCATCGCATTCCCCAGGAAAACAGAGACATTCTCTGCAGTGACATTATCTGATAGGCATCAAATATATCAGGCATGTCGGAGGAATGATCTCCACAGACATTGTTCACATGAACAATGTCGGAGGAATGATCTCCACAGACATTGTTCACATGAACAGCATGGGCATTGACCAGGTCAAGGGCAATGAATCAGATGTCTAATACTGTAAGCCCTTCTGGAACTTTACTATAATCTTTATGGTTCTCAATGTAAATGCTCAATCGGCTCAGCTGGAACTTAAGTGCGGATTCTCCCCAGTAAGCTTGAAAAACGTTCCAGCGTATCCTTGGAGAGCACCTTTCACTAAATGAAGGGGCCGCCATCTTGAGAGCACACAGCTCTCTTTACACATCGTCTTGTTCCATCAGGGTGCTGCCTTTGATGATTCTGAAGAACACAAGACATATAAATGCATGAGAGATAAAATAGGTCTCAGGATTAACTTGAATAATGATTTTATTTAGGTTAAGAAACAAATTTACCAGCAACTACAGAAGATGTATTCTTCTGCGCCAACTTATCTGATGACACTAAAGTCTTTTGATTATGCGTTCCAAGCATGAGGAGCCTCGGTAGATCCATTCCTCATGTTGATCTGTCTATGATTGATGACACACAAACTACTATGAGTCAAGCAATCTAAATACATATTGCAGGGGAGAATAAACCAAGAATACTGTTGGAAATAGTTTTAAGAAAGATGTTCACAAATACTGACCGAAACGAGAACTTTAAACAAGCTGGAGTCGACCGTCTGCACCGTACACCTCTGTATTATTCCATTTAATTCTGCATTTATGGACTGTCCAACCCGGTACTGTGTCTGGGGCGGGTAAGGCCAGGCCTTTAAATACCGCTGCATGAAGCTCTTGTGGCTGCCATCTGGAATATCGTCCAAGGGGTCCGTCACTGTCACAGGAAAAACAGACAGAATCTGTCACTCTGCTTACTGACAGAGTAGTTGTAGGTACCGTGAACAGATGTTTTGACAGGTGTCAAATTTGAAGCTCTAACTCCATAGAGCAGGGGTGTCCACACTTTTTTCACCGAGGGCCACATACAGAAAAATATACGAAGGGCTGGGCCGCTCACTAGAGGTATATTGCCTCTTAGTTTTAAGTTAGAATGTAGGTAAATTGTGGTTGATATTGATGGAAAAAACACAGCTCTCCGTAGGGTTTCATTTATTGTGTTGGCAGCTCATTCCTTAAAACAGGAGGCTCAGATTGCTTATAAGAGGAAATATGAAGGGTATATTTTAAGGTTGTTATGTAAATGTGTTATTGGGCTTTTTTCTTATCAATTTGTTAGAAAATGTTTTCAACTTTAATTCACTGAATTTATTTAACAAATTAATACTGTGTTATATATTTAAACATTATATATTTAAGAAGTACAATAGCAGATGTTTAATTTGTGGGCCATAATTCATTATACTTTTTTAATTTGCTGAGGGCTGATTCAAAATGGCCCGCGGGCCGCATTTGGCCCCCGGGCCATAGTTTGGACACCCCTGCCATAGAGGGTCATCAGTTAAATGTATCATAATGCTGCTCCGTAGTTTAGCATTAAGGCAGGCTAACCTACTTGCTGATGGCAACAGATGCCAAATAAGTGGGTAAGTTGTTGAGAAATAACTGCTGCACATGCATTGTTGTCAGGAAGCTTATGCAGTTATTGTTATTCGCATATTTCCAGAGGTAACATGTTTTTAACGGACAACATTTTTGGGTTAATTATTGCGTATGGCTGAATTCCATTTATCTGCTTCAGTTTCAGGGTCCTGGTGATTACCGGTACACTTGAATAGAGCAGAGTGAAACAATGTCTAACCAGAGTGAGGCAGCAAACAGCTCTCAAACTGGACTCAGATCAGACCAACTTGTGCTCGTAATCTTCAAATCTGTTGATGTGAATGAATGAGACAAACTTACATGGTCTGCACACCAGGTGAAGTCTAGGTAAGTTCACATAGAGCGGCGTGTGATCATCCATAAAGACCAGGAACCTGGAAAACAAATACATGATTTTCATTTTTATTTATTCATTTATTTAACAGGGACAGTGCACATTAATGAACATTTCTGTAAATGTGCCAGAGTTAGCCAAGAGGCTATTTCTCATCTGTAGTCCCTGGACAGATTTTAAATAAGTAAATACAATACATTTAAAACATGCAACATACATTACTGGGATACTTAAATCATCATCACACAATACTTTGGCTAATGCATCCTCATGTTATCATAAGAAATATAGATTTTATCTCAATGCTTTTATCTGGTTAAATAAAGGTTTTATAAAAAATAAATAAATAAAAAATAGGGCTGTCGTGGATTGATTGTCCAAAGTAAACTGGCGATTAGTCACAAATTATTTGTACGTTTTTTATCTATTCTAAATTAACCTTATTTATTTTACATGTTTTTGATATTCTTATCAACATAGGAGTGGACAAATATGATTGCTTTATAAGTGTTTTGTCAGAACCAGAGAAGGGCAATTCAAAATCTGGCTCCAGTCCAGCAGGTGGTGACAGGGAGCCTAAGATCTGTGGTTCCACTGGAGATGTGGCTCAAAGAAGAGTGTGAGTCTCCTATTAATGAGCTTGATGCAACGCACCTGGGAATGCACTCTCAGCAGAGGACAAACAATTCACTGTGAGAGAGGAGAGGAGACTCAAAGATTCGACCAAAGACGCTGCTGGTGATATATTTGTAAATGTATTTATCCGTTTGAAGACATGTTTGATTAAATGAACTATTATTTCTAGTCTTATGAGGTATTAAGCTAAAATATAAGATGCTGGAATATAATTTACTTTGTTGAGATGATTTTACTTTTGATTAAATGTTAAGTTTAATTGTAACTTGATTACATTTAAAACCATAGAGCAGAAATGAAAGTGCTTGTTTAAGTATGGCATGTTTTTCATTGAAATGTTATGCCTAAAGTGAATGAAAGTATGTTTTGTGTTAAAGGTTTTCAACCTAAATGATGCGACAGGAAGCTGAATGAAGCAAAAAGAAATCTACAATAACTCAAAGAGGAAGGATTCAAATTTGAGTTGTCCCGTGTGTCCTTTGAGTGAATCAAGCCATTTTCAAGTTTAGGCAGGAGTCAATCTAGCAAACCAAATCATAACTTGACAATAAAAAATGTCTGTTTATTCAATACAATAAACATAATTGTTTATTAAAGATAAATATTCTCCAGAATAACCCCAAAGTATGCTCTAAAATTAGGCAAACTGAATCCCCACATTAAACAGATGGGCATATTGAATATAACATTGGATAGTAATACATGTAGTTTAAAACTTAACACTTGTCAAGGTTGACTAAACATCCCCTGTTTTTTTAAGCAGCTCAAATCATCATTGGATCCTTCAAACGTAAAACAGATAATCTCACACAATGTAATTGTGTCTATCCTCACATGGGGGCAACATCATAAAACAACCCCTTCTGCTAATTGGGATCAAAACAGGCTGATACAAAACAAACAAAAACAATACATAAAGTGTGCTTGTAACAGTAACTGGTACCACAGAACCAGGACTCGGCCTCTATAGTGCAGTTAGACCAGTTATGATGTCCACTCGGCTCCTTCAAAAACTATCCAGAGTGGTCTGCTTGCGAGGCGGAGGGGTGCGTCTCTGTGAATCAGCACTATGCCTGGCCAGAAAGTGATATTTTAAACTTGACCTACTCCGGTCGTTACATAATTCCGATTGACAGTAGGTACATATTACTTTGGTCTTGTCGAGAAAACCACCTGGCAGGGCTGAACATGCAGCTTTCAAACTACGGAGCGGTCCCAAGGTCACAGAACGCGCACATTAAAAAAACGAGTGGCGTTTAAAGAAGTTACGTTAACGCGTTAACTTTGACAGCCATAAAAAAATATGATAAATGCCACTTCTGTTTTTAGACATGGTAAAGAAGATTTTTTTTTTTTTAAATGGCTGAGTTGACCTTTTCTCCAGAATTATACATACTGGTTAACAATTATATGCTGCACTCACTCCCGTCCTCTGTCAATCGACTAATTGTCCACGTTGGGTCGAATGATACAGCCCGCCAGCAGTCAGAGCTGACAAAAAATGATTTTGAGAAACTTTTTAATCTTCTACGGAGCTGTGAAAAGTCGGTTTTCATCTCAGGTCCGATGGCAACGCTGGCCCGCGGAGCAGGGCATTTCAGTAGGATCCTCAGCCTCCACACTTGGCTCCAATCCGCCTGCAGAGCTCACGATTTAGGTTTTATTGACAATTTTAATCTATTTAGCTTTTAGCTATTATGCCCCGACAATCTGGAACAAACTACCCAAATCATGCACGTCCGCAGAAACGCTTACTATTTTTAAAATCGAGACTAAAAACATATCTCTTTGCCGCTGCTTTTAATTGAGCTGCTCATATTCGAACTACAGTATGCCTTTTAAACATGTATTGTATACCTGTGGTGTTTATTTTTATTATTTTATTATCTTTGCTTTGTAATTGCCTGTTGTAAAATGCCATTATATAATGTGTTTTTACTGTATTTATTCCTAAAAAGTATTTTAATTTGTTTTGTAAAGCACTTTGAATTGTCGCGTACAGAAAAGTGCTATATAAATAAACTTGCCTTGCCTTGCCTATGAAGTCATTGGGAACAAATTGAGGATCAAAGTAAAACACATTTTAACGATGGAAAAAAAAGACCTGTGATATGTGAGAAATAGTGTAGCTTAAGGGTATAAGTTTAACTTGATCCTCAAAGGTATTCCATTACACACGAACCTCATGCGGTTTTTCCTGTTTGGGAGCTCTGCCAGGATCCCGGGGCAGAACTGGCCCTCTTCAGTCTGATGCTTGACCACAACACGAGCGCCGACAATCAGCCCGTCCACTTTTGGCATGTAGTCAAAGGCCATGTGGTGGCCGGAGACGAGGCTCTTCAGCTTGCTCTCAAATTGGATCTTGTATTTAATCCGTCCATTTTCTGCGAAAAAAAGAAAGCAACAATTCTAAATACTATTTATTCTATATTACTTATTAAAAGCAAAAAACCTCTTTAGACAATGTCAGCAATCTGCAACACTAACTTGTGTCGTCTACATTTCGCCTCATCTAGGTTGTTATTGGGCTGCTCATTATGGGCCTACAACTATATCCTTACAGTAAGCATTACAACTATTTTAACATCTAAGCTGCAATTTTCAAATCATTTTTTACAAGTCAGTTATCTACAGTTTTCACATATTCGGGACAGATTATGACCATGTGGTGCCATCAATGCCAACCGTCTGATTTTGGGGGACAACTCCGTGATAAAATAAAAATGTAACTCAATTTGATTTGTATTAGTGTGGACATGGCCTTAGTCACAGGTTATATGAGACTACTTACAAACTGTATAAAACACTATTTAGTGAAATGGAATGATACTGGTTACCTAAAAAGCCTTGAAGATTTTGCAGAAATGGCTTAATGAGCAATACCTTAGTTAATACATGTACTGGACAGGAGAATGGATAGCTTAAACTTGTATTACACTGCTCTAATACTTTTAAAAACATTGTACATGATTGAACTGTTTTAACATTTGTGGTAAATTTCCCTCTACTGACGTATTCTCTGATGGTTCTCAGGCCTGAATTTCAACAGCCACATTAATACAATTTCGAATCAGCCCGTTATAGCAATTTATGAAATGTATTCTCATTTAACCACCCTTGTATGAACTGTGCACTCTGTGAATGTTGGGACCCTGCAATGAACTCCTACCATGGTCTTGCAGTACATTTCCCCAATGAATCTGAATTTTATATCTATGAAACTGTCTTCTGTTTTCGTGTGGGATGGTTAGTTAACCTCCCTTTTTATGAAAGAGATAACACTGTGATAAGACTAAAAGTGGGCTAGCCTACCCCGTTTCTCTTCCCACCATGAGGTCTTTTACTTGGCTTTGTGTCTGTCAAATCATTTATTTTAAAATACTACTGTTGGTTATAAATCCCTGGTTGGTTAAAGGTGGGGTAGGTAATTTTGGAGAAACCAGCTCGAGTGAGCTAGAATTTGAAAATACACAGCCGGAAAAAATCTGCCACTTCCTTATAGAGCCCCTCCTCCAACACACACAAACGCGCACATGACCAATGAGGGCACGAGATAAGTTTGTGCACAGATGGAAGGCTGACAGGCAGGTATGCCATCCAGTTATTTTAGCCGGGCCGGCTAAAATGATTGGTCGTGCTTTTTACAGTACTACAGCTTCCACAGATGACATCTTTTATGGATTTTTTGTCAAAGCACTTAAGATATTCATTGCTATCGGGATGTTAAGAGCATTCCATGGAATATAACAAAAAGTGTATCTCGAGCCGGTTTCTCAAACTTACCTACCCCACCTTTAAGTGCCTAAATACATTTCTGATCTTCTGCCTCATTATGAACCATCCAGTGTGTCTGGGATGGGTCATGGCTGAAGGCTTTCTCGTTTGCCTAAGCCCTTTTATCAAATCAGATACCTATTAATTTATTACACATAACATTAACTTGTATTCTTGTCTTGTACTCCTGTATTATGATATGTTTAGCTTGTTTTATATAAAGCACTTTAATTCCTGAAATGTGCTGTACAAGTTAACCCTGCCTCTAGGAATGTTTACTACATTTAATCGATTTGTACTACATAATCACTGACAAACCAATTTTTCTGCTAGCTTAGAGACAGCTGCATGATTAAAGGCCCCGAAAAAGACAAATACCTGTCAAAATGAAGAATGTGTTGCAGTGTGTTTATTTTTGTGCCGGACAGATTCCTTTTTTTCTTACCCCTTTCTAACACCTCGAGGATTATTCCCCGATGCCAGCTCATGGACTTCCTTCTCGCCAGGACACTCATGGTAACCCTGATCCCTCCTAGTGGCGCGCTGGGAGCAGTCTCGGTAACTTGGTCAGACTTTTGGCAAGGAACAGTTACTTTGTGTTCTAGGCTTGCTCCTGTCAGTGGAAAAGAAACATAATAGGGTATATCCAAACTGATGACGGTAAATTAATTTATAGTTGCCCATATAATTTTTTTAAAAGAGAGAATAAATGTTGCATCTTATAAATTATGTCTCAATATCCACCATCTGTAAAATAGATGTTTATGGTGTGCATTATTAATTCAGGTGACTGCGAGTGGGCCAATAAGAGTTAAGTGTCACCCAATTCAATTGCAAAAAGAAGATGGATCAGCAAACTGAATAGTCATTGTTTAGGTGTTTCTTTATCTCATACTTCACTTTAAAAGTAAAATATTAGTTCCCTCTTAAAACAACCATGCCTAAGGCCCGGACACACCAGGCCGATATCGGCCGTCTTCGGTTGTCTGGCGACGAAGCGTGCCCTGTCGCCCAAAGTCAATTTGGTGTGTCCCGAACCCTCGGCCGTGACACGCCTTATTTGGCCTTTCACGGTCGACACACGGCCGATTCAACATGTTGAATCGGCCGTGTGTCGGACATAAGCTATCGGGCCAAGAAACCACTCTGATCAGCTGTTCAGCTAGCAAATGAGAAGCGAAACGGAAGTGAGGGACGTAAACAAACAATTTAAGAAGGCACAGGACAGCAGCTAAACCCCAGCAGGTGATACTTAAAGACATCAAACATAGCCCTTAAATGTCCTCTCTTACCTCCCACACATAGCAGGGACATCTCTGATATCGGCGGGAGCGTCCCCGGCTGTCCTCTGCTGAGAGCTCCGTGATTTGTTTGGTCAAGTCCGGTTTTTCATCTCATCGGTTTATTTGTCAGTATAAAGTTGCAGGATTAGTCTCAAGTACCTCAACATTGTCCTTAAGTACAGTGTCTAAGTAAATGAGATACTGTCTCTACTGCTGTTCATTTACCTATTGTGAGTCACCTCGGATAAAAGCATCACATGGAAATGTAAATTTAGCAAGAAGTGGCCATTATTACATACATTGCTGACTCAATAAACGACACACCCGCCAGAACACTGCGATCATCAGATGCAGGTCTATTAACTGTGATTTTATAGTATGTCTGCACTTTATGTGCTCATTTCATCATTCATGTATTTTTATATTCTAAAACATGTTTTCGATGGACGAGAGTGAAAATGGAACGCACACGCTATTTGTTGTTTGTTTATATCGGTCTGTTCTTCTTCTCTGTCTTCCGGTTGTTGCCTATTTTGAATGACGAATACACACTACCGCCGCTTGCTGGTAAGGAGAGTTATTGCCACTCACGCATGCGCAGTTCGTACGTGCTCGGCTGAAGTCTTTGCGGTGTGTTCCAGTGCGACACATGGCCAAGACGCAGGAGAACTCGCCGATGCAACTGTCGGTGTCGGCGAGTTCTCTGGTGACGGCCTGGTGTGTCTGGGCCTTAACATTAAGGCATTAAGGCCCAGTCGCACTGGAACACACCGCAAAGACTTCAGCCGAGCACGTACGAACTGCGCATGCGTGAGTGGCAATAACTCTCCTTACCAGCAAGCGGTGGTAGTGTGTATTCGTCATTCAAAATAGGCAACAACCGGAAGACAGAGAAGAAAAACAGACCGATATAAACAAACAACAAATAGCGTGTGCGTTCCATTTTCACTCTCGTCCATCGAAAACATGTTTTAGAATATAAAAATACATGAATGATGAAATGAGCACATAAAGTGCAGACATACTATAAAATCACAGTTAATAGACCTGCATCTGATGATCGCAGTGTTCTGGCGGGGGTGTAGTTTATTGAGTCAGCAATGTAGTAATGTATGTAATCTAATAATGGCCACTTCTTGCTAAATTTACATTTCCATGTGATGCTTTTATCCGAGGCGACTCACAATAGGTAAATGAACAGCAGTAGACAGTCTCATTTACTTAGACACTGTACTTAAGGACAATGTTGAGGTACTTGAGACTAATTCTGCAACTTTATACTGACAAATAAACCGATGAGATGAAAAACCAGACTTGACAAACAAATCACGGAGCTCTCAGCAGAGGACAGCCGGGGACGCTCCCGCCGATATCAGAGATGTCCCTGCTATGTGTGGGAGGTAAGAGAGGACATTTAAGGGCTATGTTTGATGTCTTTAAGTATCACCTGCTGGGGTTTAGCTGCTGTCCTGTGCCTTTTTAAATCGTTTGTTTACGTCCCTCACTTCCGTTTCGCTTCTCATTTGCTAGCTGAACAGAGTGGTTTCTTGGCCCGATAGCTTGTGTCCGACACACGGCCGATTCAACATGTTGAATCGGCCGTGTGTCGACCGTGAAAGGCCAAATAAGGCGTGTCACGGCCGAGGGTTCGGGACACACCAAATTGACTTTGGGCGACAGGGCACGCTTCATCGCCAGACAACCGAAGACGGCCGATATCGGCCTGGTGTGTATGGGCCTTTAGAGGGTCAGCCGAAAATATGTACATAAACCACAAGCTATGTAAATATGTATTTATGTTTTATGTTTTTTCCATGACAGGATCAATATGACAAGGAATTTATTAGGATTCAAAGTTATTCATTGATCGCAACGTCCTCCGACTGGTAGGGATTTTAATGTTTTAGTGTCCCTTACCTTCGGTTTTTGATGGTGGTGTTGATGTGTTCATTACTGCACTCTTAGCGTCGGTATTGGCACTTGCTTGGGGTGTTGATATCTTCCCTTCGTTGCTCGTAGCTACGGTAATTCTGCCATGTTGTGATTTGATTCGAGAACGTTTCTGGTTCTTATGATCTCCTTTTCTTCTCCTTTTCGAAGCAGGCCTGTTACTTGAGATGGGAGAATCAGAATCGGAATCGGAATCATCGGACTTCTGTTTTGGTTCCCACAGCACATCACAATCCGAGTAGCTGGAAGATTCATTTTCACTGTGGTCATCCAGAGGCGTCGGAGGACAAAATGTTTTCATCTGATTTTCAGAAAGTCTGGTCAAGACCACCACTGGTTCTTTCTTGAAAGAGGGTTTTTTGGAATTTCCTCCATAAAGTGTTGCACTGCTCTCCAGCGTTGATGATGTTCCTACAAAGTATTTAAAAAAAATCACTGGTCAAACAAACTAACTAAAATAAGCCAGTTTATTGGTGAAGCAATTCACAATTAAAAGAGACAAATCATGCATGAATATTTTCATTTAACAAACAATTTGCATCTTACCACAGCTTGTTATGTTATCGTCCTCATCACAATCAGCATTATCCTCTGAATCAGTGTCTCTATATTCCAACCCCAGCAAGGAGTATTGTTTCCTCACAATGGCTTCACGTGCCAACACAGACCTGAACACATTAACAACAAAGACAACACTAATCAAGCAAAGAACAGACATTGACTGTACTTCAAATACTCAGAAGGTATTTTTAATAAAAAAATATTATTTTTTAAAACATTACTTTAGTGACTTTGCTTTGTCCCAAAAATCTGTCCAGGATAGGCAGTTTTTAGAATGGATGGATGAATTTGAAACACTCTTTATTACAACAGTTTGGAATATGAGGTCTTTCATTTTAAGAACACATTTAAATGTGTTAAAAAAAAATGTTGCTGCCTTCATATTCTGAAGTTTGTAGTTGTTTCTCCTGTCAATCCGTCCAATTCGGGCCTCAAAGATTAAAAAGGTTTCCTCTGTGGTTGATTATGTTTAAAAGGGCTTAAAAATAGGTATCAATAATAAGTAGCAATTGGTTGTAACACTCACTCGCAGAGCTTCAGGAATTCGGAAGCCCGTTTTATTTTCCGATCCAGCATAGATTGAATCAGTATGCATTTCTCCAGCATATCGGACTTGATCAGCTTGTCCACCTTTACCTTCTGTTTGATCCAATTCCGGAGCTCATCTTTGCTCAGCTCTATCTCATCCGCCTCCATTATCACTGCAACACACAAGGTCACAAATCATGAGGTAAAGTGTTGTGTTGTTTATTCCAGGAAAGGCAAACAACTTCTAAGTTCAACTATTTAATAAAAGAGCAAAATATATACCGGTAGTCACTTGGCAAAGGACTCCGTCAGGTCATAGAAATCACAGGCAGCAGAGCTGTAGTCTATAACCACTATTTCCGGAAAAAGCCTTGAACCTCTTGCGCACATACATTTTATTATTCAGGGCATTGCCCGTACATTTTTGGTTGGTTGAGACTAGAAGGGGAGGACCGTGGATAGACTTTGGCCTCCCTGGTTGGTGCACAGACTTAGTCCGAGTCTCTTGGCAACACAAACTCCAATCAGCATTCGGCCGGCCGGTAAAGGTTCCCTCCCTACTCTAGTCACGCTATCCTACGTAATTTGTTTTGTTGAAGCTGCTTGCAACAGATAGTAGGAAACATCTATTATACTATGCATAGGCGTTTAGCACACACTGTTCAAGGCCAGGGTGATCTCCTCTTTTGGCGCGTTTCCACTACACGGCCTCGCTCGGCCCCGCTCGGTATGGCTGGGCCTCGTTAGGACTGGCTCACTTTATGGCGCATTCCCATTACAGTTTAGGAACTGGGGTAGTATCTATAGAAACGCAGTGTAGGCGGAGCCGTGACGTGATCTTCAGAGAACCCCAGAAAAAACAACACAGCCGTTAGCTGTTAGCACTCAGAGCTCACAGCTCCTCATATATGTTCAGAAACTAGACAAAAGTTAAACAAGTACAAACCACAGACTGCCTGTGTCATGGTGAATACAGTCGCTGCTTTATTTATGTCTGTATAGGCCGTTGTTGTGAGTGTGGACGGTCGGAGCATATACTGCGTTAGCTTAGCCAATCTCCATTTAGAAAACAAGCATTTTAAAAGGTTTTTCCCCTGCCGTCTGTCTGCAGACTTGACAAAGCATTAATTCATGGTTTTTACTAACCGGTATCAGTATGTTGTTTGTTCGGCATCATTTTGAAACGTGTATTACAATTAAATCACGGTCAAATATGTCCATCTTGTTGTAGTTGTAGCCCCCTTGCCAGGGATGCTCTCTCTAGTTTAGCATACTCAGCCCGACTCAGCCTCGTTGTCTCTGGCCCTAGACCCGCGATTTTATGAGGCCAGAAAAACTGTGAATTAGGACCCGCCGGCCGGTACTAGGCCAAGTGGAAACGCAACCAAAGACGGGCCGCTGACGTCACAGCCCTCTTAAACCGTGCTCCGCGCTGTAGTGGAAACGCGCCATTTGTCTCTACAGTATCTACACCTTAGTATTTGAAACATTTCTAATGCAAGCTAAAACTTTCTTCTATGACTATACCCTTCGTTTCATATCCAACCCATCAGAACTTGGTATTGGTTGATTGTGTTTTTTATCCTGTAGTCATAGCAACATCTCATGAGCACAATAAGCATATAATGTAATAATAAGAATCAACCTTGTAATGTTATATACAAATAGACTCCACAAAAGCTTAAGTGTCCAGCAGGGGAGTTTTCTCTAAAACATAAGATTGAAATAATGATATTTTGAAGATTGACAAGAATGACTCCAAAAGGATGGACATCACCAGCTCTTGTTCAAAGTGATATGCCAAGTTGTGCTCTAGTTTTGGCATTTACTGTACACGAGTAGCTGATGTGATAAGGACAAGAGCCAGCAACACATAATACTGTTGAATGGTCAGAGAGAATCGCTGGCAAGGGGGCTACAACACTGCGGTCAAGCCAGCCTCCACTTCGGAAAACACAGTCAAGCCAGCATCTGCGTTGTTTTGCGGTGCGCGAATATCCTATGCATTACGGTAGCGGTCTGGAGAAACTGCATTCAAAATAAAAGTGCTTACTCGGTCAATAACAATTATATCAAACATATTAAAATATGTACTATATAGGCCTAATGTGATCAATAATAATGTAAGACAAACTACATATAACTACCACATTATAACTGACTGAATGTAAAACTTAAAGAGTTTCAAAATAAAAGACCTTTGAAGTCTCATATATGAGCTATCATCCCTCTGTTTTTAGATGAGAATAAAACAAACACTGTCAAGTATCAAATACTTATTTCACTTCAGGGTGATAGCAGGACACCCCATCTAGTCACTCAGGGAGAATCAGGACAATCTGATGTAGAGTTTCAAAATAAAAGACCTTTGAAGTCTCATATATGAGCTATCACCCCGAAAAAAAATTGGAAAAAATATAGTGTAAAATAGAAGAGAAATAAAGGTTAAAGCAAAAATATCCATATTCACTGTAAAATAAGAGTATCTACATCTAAATGCACACTATAGAACAGACAATACATTTTAAATTCTCAAAAGTATGCACTGCATGTACGATGTAAGTACAATGTAGCCGACGGATCAAACAATGTATGGTGCTGGGAGTTATCTGCTGGCCAGGGATGACAAGTTGTAGAGGGTTATTGCTTTAGAAATATTTTTCTTTATGTAGTTATGTACACATGACAAAAAACCTTTGAATCTTTTAATTTTTGAAAAAAATGTGGGTGTGGAGTCCCTCAAGTTCCTAGAATGCACTATCTTCCATGAGCTGAAACTGACATAAAATGCATATTAATGAGTGCCAAGCATAGACTGTTTTTCCTAAGCCACTCCGCCTTATTTCCTATACCATTAGGTATATTTTTAGGGGCACTGATATATGTTAACTTCCTATTCTTAAATACACTTGCAACAAATATATGTGTTTTTGATACACTACACCAGGGGTACTCAAACTTTTTTATTAAAGGTCCAGTTGTGAACTTTATACAAGGTCACTGGTCCGGATCAATGCCAGTAAAGTTACACCGTTACAAGGTGTGTATTTTGTATTTTGTAAATTGTGTAACTTGCTGCTGTTTAATACCATCAAACTATGTGCAATATATACCTTATATCCTGTATCCTGATTCTCCCTGTGTGACTAGATGGGGTGTCCTGCTATCACCCTGAAGTGAAATAAGTCTTTGATACTGGACAGTTTTTGTTTTACTGTTATGTAAAAACAGAGGGATGATAGCTCATATATGAGACTTCAAAGATCTTTTATTTTGAAACTGTACATCAGATTGTCCTGATTTTATCTGAGTGACTAGATGGGGTGTCCTACTATCACGCTGAAGTGATATTATTATTTGATACTGGACAGTCTTTGTTTTATTCTCATCTAAAAACAGAGGGATGATAGCTCGTATATGAGACTTCAAAGATCTTTTATTTTGAAACTGTACATCAGATTGTCCTGATTTTATCTGAGTGACTAGATGGGGTGTCCTGCTATCACCCTGAAGTTAAATAAGTATTTGATACTGGACAGTTTTTGTTTTACTGTTATGTAAAAACAGAGGGATGATAGCTCATATGAGACTTCAACAGTATTTTATTTTGAAACTCTACATCAGATTGTCCTGATTCTCCTTGAGTGACTATATGGGGTGTCCTGCTATCACCCTGAAGTGAAATAAGTATTTGATACTGGAGGGTTTTTGTTTTATTCTTATCTAAAAACAGAGGGATGATAGCTCATATATGAGACTTCAAAGGTCTTTTATTTTGAAACTCTTTAAGTTTTACATTCAGTCAGTTATAATGTGGTAGTTATACATAGTTTGTCTTACATTATTATTGATCACATTAGGCCTATATAGTACATATTTCAATATGTTTGCTAAAATTGTTATTGACCGAGTAAGCACTTTTATTTTGAAGGCAGTTTTTCCAGACCGCTACCGTAATGCATAGGATATTCGCGCACCGCAAAACAACGCGGATGCTGGCTTGACTGTGTTTTCCGAAGTGGAGGCTGGCTTGACCGCAGTGCTACAACTACAACAAAATGAACATATTTTACCGTGATTTAATTGTAATACACGTTTCAAAATGATGCCGAAGTAACAACATACTGATACCGGTCTGCAGACAAGACGGCAGGCGAAAAACCTTTTAAAATGCGTGTTTTCTGAATGGAGATCGAATCGATCAGGCTAAGCTAACTTTGTATATGCTCCGTCCACACACACAACAACGGCCTACAGACATAAATACACCAGCGACTGTATTCGCCATGACACAGACAGTCTGTGGTTTGTACTTGTTTAACTTTTGTCTAGTTTCTGAACAGATAGGAGCTGTGAGCTCTGAGTGCTAACAGCTAACGGCTGATGTTTTGGTTTTGTGGTTCGCATTGAAGATGACGTCAAGGCAGTTTTACGCAGCGCTGCTCCGCCCGCCGAACAGCCGATCGCTCTGCCTACACTGCGTTACTATAATTACTAATTACTAGTACTAAGGTATATAGTACTAATAAGTAACTTAACTAATGGAAACGCAGCATAAAGTGAGCCTGGCCTACCAAGGCCTAACCAGCCCTGAACCATACCGTACTAAGCCGTGCTAGGTCCTGCAGTGGAAAAGCGCCATAATACAGGTGTTGCTTATCTGATGCTGTGGAAAGAGCTGACACGGATTACATCCTCCGTCAGAGATAACATAATTTTCATGTTCACATTTATGCTTTTCAGGGCTGTTGAGCTGCATTGAGGATTCAGTTGACACATAATTAAATACAACTATTTTGAAGAATGTTTCTTCATGTTAAACTGTTCAGAAAACACTATTTTCAGCCTCTCCAATATGGAGACTTCCCTATGGTGTCTGTTTTATATCATATTAAACAGAATATTGTTTGGTTTTGGACTGACAAAACAAGACATTAACACACATCTCCTTGGACTTGAGCATTTTTACTATTGTCTGACATTTTCTAGAGGTACAAATGTATCTAGAAAATGAAAATATGATATACATGTTGGCAGGAAATGGTGCTGAAAGGTGGGGGTTGTATTGGTACAAAACAGCTCCCTTTGTTTCCTGTCTTTAGTAAAAACAACATTTATCATTTAAAATACCTGGCGTTAAAGTCTGCATACATATCATTGCTTTAGTAGAAACAAGATAAATACAATTCTAATATAAGAAAAACTGATTTTTCAGATTGTTTTTAGCCGTTGCTAATGCTAAAGATACAGACTCCATGATAACAAAGCCTACGACACATCCGCCCAACTCATCGGTTAGTCC